ACGCAAGCATCACCAACCGAATACAAGAGTTAGAAGAGAGAATCTCAAATGCAGAAGATACAGTGGAAAATATTGACACAGTTGTCAAAGAAAATGCAAAATGCAAAAAACTCCTAACTCAAAACATCCAGGAAATCCAGGACACAATGAGAAGACCAAACCTAAGGATAATAGGTATAGATGAGAATGAAGATTCCCAACTTAAAGGGCCAGTAAATATCTTCAACAAAATTATTGAGGAAAACTTCCCTAACCTAAAGAACAAGATGCCCATAAACATACAAGAAGCCTACAGAACATCAAATAGACTAGACCAGAAAAGAAATACCTCCCGTCACATAATAATCAAAACATCAGATGCACAAAACAAAGAGAAAATTCTAAAAGCAGTAAGGGAAAAAGGTCAAGTAACATATAAAGGCAGACCTATAAGAATTACACCAGACTTCTCACCAGAGACTATAAAAGCCAGAAGAGCCTGGACTGACATCATACAGACCCTAAGAGAACACAATTGCCAGCCCAGATTACTATACCCAGCAAAACTCTCAATCACTATAGATGGTGAAACCAAGATATTCCATGACAAAACCAAATTTGCACAATATCTTCCCACAAACCCAGCACTTCAAAGGATAATTGATGGAAAACGCCAACACAAGGAGGGAAACTACAACCTAGAAAAAGCAAGGAAGTAATCTCCAACAACCCCAAAAGAAGATAACTATACAAACATAACTTTACCTCTAATAACAAAAATAACAGGAAGCCACAATCATTTTTCTTTAATATCTCTTAACATCAATGGTCTCAGTTCCCCAATAAAAAGACGCAGACTATCAGACTGGATACACAAACAAGACCCAGAATTTTGCTGCATACAAGAAACGCACCTCAGGGACAAAGACAGACACTACCTCAGAATAAAAGGGTGGAAAGCAATTTTCCAAGCCAATGGTCCCAAGAAACAAGCTGGAGTAGCCATTCTAATATCAAATAAAATCGACTTTCATCCAAAATTAATCAAAAAAGATAAGGAAGGACACTTCATACTCATCAAAGGAAAAATCTACCAAGGTGAATTCTGAACATCTATGCTCCAAATGCAAGGGCACCTACATACATAAAAGAAACTTTACTAAAGCTCAAAACACACATTACACCTCACACAATAATAGTGGGGGATTTCAACACCCCACTCTCAGCAATGGACAGATCATGGAAACAGAAACTAAACCGAGACACTTTGACATTAACAGAAGTTATGAACCAAATGGACTTAACAGACATCTATAGAACATTTCATCCTAAAAAAAGAATACACCTTGTTCTCTGCACCTCATGGTACCTTCTCCAAAATAGACCATATAATTGGTCACAAAACAACCCTCTACAGATACAAAAAATTGAAATAATCCCTTGCATCTTATCAGATCACCACAGACTAAGACTGGTCTTTCATAATGACAAAACCAATGGAAAACCCACGTGCACATGGAAACTGAACAACTCTCTACTCAATGATGACTTGCTCAAGGAAGAAATAAAGAAAGAAATTAAAGACTTTTTAGAATTCAATGAAAATGAGGACACATCATACAAAAACTTGTGGGACTCCATGAAGGCAGTGCTAAAAGGAAAACTCATAGCTCTAAGTGCCTAAAAAAAGAAACTGGAAAGAGCACACACTAACAACTTGACTGCACATCTAAAAGCTCTAGAACAAAAAGAACCAAATACACCCAGGAGGAGTAGAAGGCAGGAAATAATCAAACTCAGGGCTGAAATCAACCAAATAGAAACAGAAAGAACAATACAAAATATCAATAAAACCAGGAGCTGGTTCTTTGAGAAAATCAACAAGATAGATAAACCCTTAGCCAGATTAACCAGAGGGCACAGAGACAGTATCCAAATTAATAAAATCAGAACTGAAAAGGGAGACATAACAACAGAAACTGAAGAAAATCAAAAAAATCATCAGATCCTACTACACAGGCCTATACTCAACAAAACTGGAAAACCTGGATGAAATGGACAATTTCCTAGACAGATACCAGGTACCAAAGTTAAACCAGGAGCAGATAAACCATCTGAATAGTCCCATAACCCCTCAGGAAATAGCAGCAGTCATTAAAAGTCTCCCCACTAAAAAAAGCCCAGGACAAGATGGTTTTAGTGCTGAATTCTATCAGACCTTCAAGAAAGACCTAATACCAATTCTCTTCAAACTATTCCACAAAATAGAGACAGAAGGAACACTACCCAATTCATTCTATGAAGCTACAATTACACTCATACCCAAACCCCACAAGGACCCGACAAAGAAAGAGAACTTCAGACCAATCTCCCATATGAACATCGATGCAAAAATACTCAATAAAATTCTAGCAAACCGAATCCAAGAACACATCAAAACAATCATCCATCATGATCAAGTAGGTTTTATCCCAGGAATGCAGGGATGGTTCAATATTTGGAAATCCATCAATGTAATCCACTATATAGACAAACTTAAAGAAAAAAAAAACACATGATCATCTCACTAGATGCTGAAAAAGCATTTGAAAAAATTCAACATCCCTTCATGATAAAAGTCTTGGAAAGATCAGGAATTCAAGCCCCCTACCTAAACATAGTAAAAGCAATTTGCAGCAAACCAGTAGCCAACATCAAGCTAAATGGAGAGAAAGTTGAAGCAATTCCACTAAGATCAGGGACTAGACAAGGCTGCCCACTCTCCCCCTACCTATTCAATATAGTACTGGAAGTCCTAGGTAGAGCAATTAGACAACAAAAAGAAGTCAAAGGGATACAAATAGAAATGGAAGAAGTCAAAATATCTCTATTTACAGTTGATATGATAGTATACTTAAGTGACCCCCAAACTTCCACCAGAGAACTCCTAAACCTGATAAACAACTTCAGCAAAGTGGCTGGTTATAAAATCAACTCAAACAAATCAGTAACCTTCCTCTACAAGAAAGATAAACAGACTGAAAAAGAAATTAGGGAAATGACACCTTTCACAATAGTTCCAAATAATATAAAATACCTTGGTGTGAATCTAACCAAGCAAGTGAAAGACCTGTACAACAAGAACTTCAAGTCTCTGAAGAAAGAAATTGAAGAATATCTCAGAAGATGGAAAGATCTCCCATGCTCATGGATTGGCAGGATTAATATAATAAAAATGGCCATCTTGCCAAAAGCAATCTACAGATTCAATGCAATCCCCATTAAAATCCCAACTCAATTCTTCACAGAGTTAGAAAAGGAAATTCTCAAATTCATATGGAATAACAAAAAACCCAGAATAGCGAAAACTATTCTCAACAATAAAAGAACCTCTGGAGGAATCACCATTCCTGACCTCAAGCTGTACTACAGAGCAATAGTGATAAAAACTACCTGGTATTGGTACAGAGACAGGCAGGAAGATCAATGGAATAGAATTGAAGACCCAGAAATGAAC